TGCCCCCTTATATTAGGGCACGCCCTGTCCCCTTTCTTGCTTGTCCTGACTCCTCTTTGAAGCTCCTTTGGCCAAGGAAAAAGCTGTTTCCCCCCATCCAGGGGCCTTTTTCTTCCCTTCCCTTTTTTTCCTGTGTTACAAGTTTACTCTGAACTTCCAGTCTGCCTGCCACAAGGAGAAACTCCTCACACTGCAGGACCGTGGGAAGAGCCTCCTACTTCTCTCTCCCCTCTATAAAGTGATTAATCAGATCCAGGAGCATTACTGTGAAATTGAGCATTGCCTCCATCAAGTGCGAACCAGTCAGCTGTCCAGAACCTTCCTTCCCCTATGTCAAATCTGACACTTAACAGAGCCAAATATTTTGTTCTTGGTGGTGAAACTAGGGTAAGTACAATGCTTTTCACATGGACCACGGGGAGGTTTTCTGGATAACAGAGGCCTACCAGTATTTTCTTGATACGCTCACACTAAAACCTTGTGAATAGATTCATCCCTCTTTTATTATTCAAAGAGGTGTCTCTCAGTTCTGTGGTCTCTTGGGAATATTTTGTGGCCTCTTTGGTCATTGCCGATTAGCTGGGCAGAGGCTCTGAGTGGCCCACTGTGCTGAATGGGACTCATAATTAATTTCAGGGGTAAGGATGCTCCCTCGGCAGTGAACATCCTGGGTGAGGCCACTTGACTGTAGCCATAACATTCCTAGGACTGATCTCCTAGGAAGGGGAAAAAATCCCAAAAGCTACTTTTAAAGAATTAATAAACTTTATTTTTTACAGCCGTTTTAGGGGTTACAGAAAAATGTGCTGAAACTGTCGAGTTCCCACATGCCTTCCCATCCCCCCTTCCACATTGTTTTCCCTGTTAATATCTTGTTAATAGCGCAGGACATTTGTTAGGATTGATGAACCGAAACTGATAGATCATTAGTAACTAAGGTCCACAGTTTACATTAGGGTTCGCTCCAGTGGTGTATAGTTCTGTGGGTTTTGACAAATGCATGATGTCACGATCATAAAGAATAATTTCACCACCTATATAAAAAAAATATGCTCCACCTATTCAACCTCCTCCTCCTCCCTCAGGCTGTCAGGGATCTTGTTACTGTCTCCAGAGTTCTGTCTTTTCCAGAGGATCTATGGTTGGAATTACACAGTGTGTAGCCTTTTCAGATCGGCTTCTTTCACTTAGAAACATGCATTTGGGGCACCTGGGTGGCTCAGTCGGTTAAGCGTCTGCTTTTGGCTCAGGTCATGATCCCAGGGTCCTGGGATCGAGTCCCGCATCGGGCTCCCTGCTCAGCGGGGAGCCTGCTTCTCCCTTTGCCTGCCGCTCTCCCTGCTCATGCTCTCTCTCTCTGTCAAATAAATAAATAAAATCTTTAAAAAAAAAAAGAAAAGAAACATGCATTTGGCTTCCTCCTTGGCTTTTCATGACTTGATAGCTCATTTCTTCTCATTGCTGAAGAACATTCCATTGTCTGGGTGGACCACCGTTGGTTTATCCATTCACCTACTGGACAGGTTGGTTGCTTCCAAGTTTTGGCAATTATGAATAAAGCTGCTAGGAACATTTATGTCCACACATTTTTGACTCTTTTGAGCAAATACCTAGTCAAAAAGGACTTCTAAAAATATGATTTTAAAGCCTTTCTTCCTAACGAGTCAGAAGGAGAATGTTGTCCTCCTCCTTCTAGATATCTTTCGAAAGACAAGGCAGGAGGTAGAACTAGATGAAGCCAAAAGCAGTTGAATGTTCCTTTAATTTGGGTGGATTAGGTTCACTCATCTCCTGGACAGAGACTAATGGAGCTCACCTTTAACTAGTCATGGAATCTTTAGGCAGTTAGATTGGTTATTGCTGAAATCTAGGCACATTGACAGAAGGGTCATACAGGGGCAAACAACCGGTGAACAGGTTTGTTCTGAGCATTTGCTTCAGGGGCTGGAGTAGGTTACTATGGGATGCGGTGGGTAAAAATGAAAACCGATTTCATTTTTTTCATTTCGCCTAATAATTACATTTTATACTTCCTCCCCTGGTTTTATGACATTTTCCCGATTTCCCAAAAGTGGGCATTTTTTTTTTCTTTTGCATTTTTTCTTATTTTTAGTCTCCCATTTATATCATTCTTCTAATCATTGTGGTTGTTCTCTAGCTTTTATGGTCCCAGAATTATCCAGCTTAGCTTTACAATTCTTGGCAATTGCTTTCTTATACCTCACCTCTTTAAATTGTTTTTCTCCATAGTGTATGTTCTGAACCAAATTTCTCCTTCAGTGCCTTAGTGTGGCTTCCATTCTTTCCAGGGAAGGAGGTTTAATTTCGCTAGAAACAAACTGTGGCCTTCCTTTAGATTTAAATAGCACTGCTGCTTTATAATCAGTTTTCACAGGGTAACAGTTTGGGCTATTGCTGGCCCACTGTTTTGTGTGCGCATGCAGGTTTTTTGGAATTACCGTATATGCTTGAATATAAGGTCAGATTAGAGCATGTCCTGGTTCTCCTCCGAAAAGAGGATGTGTCTCACCTGGACTCGCTTATGACTCAGGGAGCTCGAGAAACCTCCCAAGGAAATGGATAGAAGGGGAGGCCAGGACGTTTTACATGGCTTTAATAATAACTTCTAGCGATATGACCTCACCACTGTGAGGGCTTGGGAGACAACTCTAAAAACAATTCACTGAGTAGTTAATTTATATAGAAATTTTAAATGGGCGCTTATTATTTACATGGCTTGTGATAAGGTTCCAGCAAGAGATTTAAAAAGTGCTTTGTGACAAACATCCAGTCAACTTTAAGATCATGCTACTCTGGTAATATGGCACAAAGACTGTCAGCCTCCTCCTGGCTGTGACAAGTTTCAGTGACACTGTTTCGTGAACTGTGAAGGTGTGGGAATAATATTTCTAAAGTTAATGTTATGGCATATGCTCTTAAACACGATAGTGCAGCTTTGTAGATAGTCGTTTGATCATTCCATTGCATTTTAAAAATTTATATACTTTTGTTTTCCAAAAAGCCTTTACTGAGGGACAGAGTCTTCCCATTGGAAAAATGAGGGGAAGATTATTGTATATTTGGGGTCATCCTGCATTTGGACATACATGATACCCTTTAAAGGCTGACATAGTTTATAATAGTCTGTGTATTGTTTCAGCTGGATCCAAGTGAAAGGATCCAATTCTTCCTCCCACCTCCCAGTTGGTGGGTGCATGTGGATTGGGGGATATCCATATGCCCTAGCTGCAAGTTTCAACTCAGACCTCCTTGCTCATCCAAGTGTCCAGCCCTAACACTACCAGCCGCCTTCCAATTTTGAAAGATATTGGATGCTTTTTAAAAGAGCTCACCTTTTTCTGCACTTGACTTCTTCCTATCTTGAAATGCTTCCCAATGCTTCCCTTCCTTGTTCCTGGGACAGCAGTGTCCCCGACTTCCCTCCTCTCCCCCACATTCTCTCCCTGGGCAATCTCATGTCCTTTCCAGGCTCAGCTTCCCCTCCCCGCCGTACTGAGGTTGAAAATTGGTAGTTTGCAGGCCATGTCTTGCCAGCAAGGTTGGCCCATGCAGCGGTGGTTGTTACTGTTTTGAAATGTGAATTTGTTGCCAGCATTTAAAAATTGGGATAAAATCCAGATTTCTAGTTCCTCTTGGAGAAGAGGATGAGCTGCTACGGCTGGGACCGAGCTGTGAGCATCTGTCCCCGTGAAATGGGACACTGCTCTCCGTTTACTAAAAGCCCTAGCAACTGCTCCCTTTTGTCTCACGACTTTGATGTAGTGTTGTTTGCTTATCATGATTTCACTATTCTATTCTCTTCAGTAGAGATATGAGGAAAAAGGATTTCTTTTGCCTGTGCCTCTGTTCAAAAGTGGGAAAAATAAAAAAACTGGACCAAAAATGCCGTGTGTTTCAAAACCATGGAAGGGAACATGGTGTGTGTGTGTGTTTGTAAGAGAAGAATGTTCTTATAGATCTAATACTCAAGGTGTGTCTGAGTTGACAGCTTAAAGATGCTTATTCTGTAATCATCAACTTAGATGGTTTTGATGACCAAATGTATACTTTTGCCCATGTTTTTTCCTTCTGAAATCCAGAACGATCTCTTTGGTAATGTAGATTCATTTGTATTTACTGAGTACCTGGGATGTGCAAAGGTCCTGGGGCTGCAGTGGTAAGCAGGGCCGCCATGTTTCCTGCTGCCATGTTTCCTGCCGGCTAGGAGCTTACAGTCGGCTCGCACAGATCCTACAGGCACCCCACATTCAGCATGAACCTGAGTGCAATTCTCCCTTCCACTCTTCAAGTCCCCTCAGTGTCAATGATGAGAGTCACCCACAGATTGATTAACAATCTTCATTCCATCTGCAAACTTAATTCCTTTTGGGTATGTAACATTAACATTCACTCGGTTGTAATACCAGGCATTAGGAGCCAACATCTTTGGAGTCCGTTTTTCTGCCCACCATGATATCTGCTTGCTTAAATGGATGATCACCTGCCAATTTGTGGATGACACTTGGGCTCCATGCATGGAGTTTGAAGGACTGATAAATTATGTTAGCTTTCAATTTATTTATTTTTTTTGGCTGCTTCCCCCGGCTGGTGTTGTTCACCAGCTCACAAACACGTGGCCACATTTGTATTTCCCTACCTGTTTGGGCAGCGCCTGTCTTGAATGATTCTTCCATTCTCTCCCAACCTTGTTTATTTAAATTCCAAGTTTCAGCTTTGATCCCACTCCTTCCGGAAACTTCTCATGATGTGTTCTGCCCTCAGTGCTCTCTGTTTTTCTGAAATCCTTTGGCTTTTTCAGCCTGCAACAATTAATTGTATCATATTTATAAATATTTACTTATCGATTGTGGAGTTTTGGCAGGAAGCTTTTGGGCTGGTTCAAAGTAGCTCTCAAGCAGTTCGTTTGCCTTCAGAAGCAAAATGTCATTCCACGATTTCAAATGCCTATCTGAAATATTCTGTGGTTTTGTTTATTTCAGGGACTTGAAGATAGAAAATTTGCTACTAGATGAAGACAATAACATCAAGCTGATTGGTATGACTTTTTTTTTTTTTTAAGCAAGATTGTCCTTTAAGTGTTGTGTTGTCAATTCTCAGTTATTTATTGCTGGATTATTGACTTTGAAAATTATTCATGATCTATTTCTAATCCCAGACAATACTCTAGGCCACCTCCTTTTACTTCCAATATTTAATAATGGTTTTGAATGAAAATTAATTTTAATAATAAACATAATTAGGAAGGTAGAAATACTGTAAAGTGACCATAAAATTAATTTCACAGCTACAAATAAGTATTGGTTGGTTACGTGTTCTGTGGATTATTCAAACTTCAGCTTTGCATAAACTCAAGTGGATCCTAATTTTTATAGGGGTTATTTTTATTTTGGTTAACCATAAAACTTCTTAAAAATAGTGGAAAATAGTTTAGTTCAGAAGTCCTACTCTTAGCTTAGCCATGGCTTAATTCCCTTTCCATGAATATCAGAGCGCTGAAGTCAAAGGGAACCCAGCTAACCTTCCGTTTTTATTATAATCTTTATCGAAGCCCCATTGTATAATTGTGCAGAGAGAAATCCCCACAGAGGGATAATTTAGAAGGAAGGTAATCAGAAGGAAGTTCCAGGATAGAGTGAGTCATAATTGGTTCATAATTCAGGGTCCATAAGCGAGTTCACTCCATGACTCATTTTCTAGAAGAATTCCTTTTTGTTTGCCTGTATGATTGCTCTTGGCAAAAGTCTCATGGCATCATTTTTACACCCAGATGTGAGCATCATCATTGGTTCCTCTCTTTTCTTTCTTTTTCCCACCTCAGGTGCAAGTAATTTTTTCCATCTCAATGGCTTGAAAAGGCTTTATATTAGGAGAAAAGAGAGGGATCAGTAGAACGTTGTGAATTTAACTCTCCTACCCGAGAAGGAAATTTTGTTTGGCAACTACTAAAAACCATCTCTAGACTCTCTGAAACATGTCATTCAAATAACCAGTTAGATTCCCTGGCTCCCAAAACCGGACTCCTTGGCTGGCTGATTAAGCACCGCCGACAGGTGTTAATGAGCGAGCATACCGATCCTTAGAAAACTACTAACAAGAGGAAACCATTTTTTTTTTTTAATTTCCCTCAAAAGATTTTAAAGATCAGATGCTTTAAAATGGACAATTCAAAGAATTTTCTTTTTATCCTGTCGTTTCACTGTCGTGTTTCGGTTGTCCCAAGGGCCAAATACAGAGGCATAAAACAAGACAGACGTTGAAATGCCTGTAGGATGTCTTACTGGTCCTGGTTTCCGGGATCTGTATCATTAAACAAAGGCCCGTCCTGGTGGGGGGCGAGGAATGGAGGAAAGAAGATTGTTGAGATTCTCTGGCAGGCTGACCTGTAACTTGTCTTCAGAAAACGTGGAGGTGACAGAGACAGGGTTGCCCTAATGGCAACAGATTGTAAGAAAACAGGCCACGTGAAGGCCGGTTGTCCATTATAGTAAAAGTTCAAATAATTTAATTATTTGAATTAATTCCCCCGTGCACCATCCAGACTGAGGCTGAAGCAGGTCACCAGGGCGTGGTTTCCGTCTCCTAACCTGGTGCTGCTCCTATTGCCCCTTTCCTTCCCTCTTGCCTCCCTTCCCCTTGGGCCTTGCTCTCTCTTTCTTCCCAAGCTATAGCCCTAGACGATCATGTATGACACTAGAAATGTACTGTGGAATGAACAGTGTTGAAAAGCACAGCTCTTTGTATTGGTTACAAGTGTGCTCAGAAGATTCTGGAAGAACCAATCTCTGTGAACAGTGGATTCGTTTCTAAGTAGCTCACAGATTGGCCACCTGACAATCCCTCTTAGAGAGGACCTGTGCCAATAAGAGGAGGACATGCTCTCCATACGTGAGAGCCCACGGTTCCCCTTGAGGAGAGCGGGATGGTGGCTCTTTGGATTCACATGCCTCAGAGTCTCCTCCGCTCAACATGGCGGCCACTGGATTGGCACCCAAGCCCGGGACACCAAGTGGGTTCTGTCAGAAATGAGGTATCAGAGACCACAGTTTCCAAGACCGCTGGCAAGGAGGCTCTGATCATTGGATTTCCCGTTATTTGAACTTTTTATGTGGCTCCCAGTTCCCTCATGACCAGCATAAACCAAAAGGCCTACCTTACACCTGAAATCCAAAGAGACATTATAGTACCAGAGAGGACAACTGGGAATTGCCTTGTGTTTACCAATATCCGATTTTCCCCATTTTTTCCAGTGGGTCAATCACGAAGCTAGTGGTGGGCGCTGGACGGAGGGAAGACCCAGGGTCTTGTGCGTTTTCTTGCCCCTGGGTCGGGCCATTTGGATCCAATGTTTCTATGACTGTCTTTTTGCAACTTGAAAGCTCTTTGAACCTTTTCTTCAAAGGAATTACCTAGTTATTTTTCAAAGATGGATTATAGCTATTTCCATTTCCTCCTATAATAGTTTTCCTTCTTTGGAATAATTTGATTTAAGTAAATTTACTTAAGCCCGGTCCGCCATGTTTCAAATAAACTAGAGCTAACTGGGAATAAGATCTGATTTAATCAAGATTTTTTTTTTCCCCCTTTCAGAAAAAGCGGTCTGATATTTGATCGTTCAGAACAGTTTTGTACTTCAGTTTCCCACAGCAGCGTTCCCTGGGGCATTTTGTGAGATTCATTTTGCGGCTCTCTGAGGATAGTGGGCTTCTCTATTTACCAGATCTAATTGGGGCAGACCTGGGTAACACCCCGGGAAGTGGACTTCTCTCTAATTTCACTGTTCTAATTATAGACACGTGTGTAACATTTTAATAATTACCCTTATGGGTGTGAAAAGGACCGGTTATTTCTCTACAATATATTTTAAATGAAACCCTTCTGGTGAGGTCAACATTAAGTCATTTAAAATGCAGATCTTCTCTCCTTCCTCACCAGATCAGCTGCTAATTTAACTTCTTGAAACTGTGCTTGAGACAAGGCAAGGCACTGTGTTCTCCAGCTTGCCTGGAAGCAGGGAGGGGCGGGGTGGGGGAGGTGGTGGTGGCAGGATAGAGGGTCGGGGGGTGACCTGGTCTCTTATCTCGCCCTGCCCTCTTGGTGTCCAGCAGTTCTTAACAGACCCCAGTCCAGGAGTGGAGGGAGTGACCTGAAGGAGGCAGTCCTTTGCTGTGAATGGCACCCTGCTGAGATTAGACACAGAGTCTTTATTTAATGTCAGAAATCTAGAGAGGACTTTACGGGACTCCTAGGAGATCGGGCCTCTAAAGTGACTGCGAAACTTCCCTTAAAATGCTGCCCCCCAAACAATGTAATCTTTATTCCATGGTGCTCTTTACGCATTTGTTGTTTTATTAAAATTCCTTTAGGATGATTTGCAGACCCAACATACTTAAGCAACCATCCAATTTCAAGCACGCTATGATTTTTCCTCTTACAAAAATATTCGCCCTCCCCCTTTTTTCCTGTGTCAGCGATACTACAGGGGTCCGAGAGGTCTGAGAACAGGGGCCCTCAGATCCTTTGGCACAGAGATCTCCTCTCAAGATGGGAAGCCGGGGGCCCCGTGGCTCCTGTAGGAGCCTTCTTGGGCAGGTTATGTGGGACCTACTGGTGTGGACTGGGGGGGAGGGGTGTAGGCTGGGGAGGAAACAGGGGCTGGGTCGGGGGGAAGAGTAGGGAGCAAAAGGAAGTTACGAGAAAAAAAACATGGAATCATAAAAAAACAAAAGCAAAGGAAGAGTTACATGTGTCCACATGCAGCATCCCCTGGTGGTTTGCCAATCCCTAGGGTAGGTTCTGGTTCTCCATCTCCAAGCCCAGAGCCTTGAAGAGTTTTTGGAGCTCTCTCTTGGGGAGGGGGCTCTGTTTGGGAAAGCTCCTTCATGACACAGTCTCAGCCAGCGACTGTGGGGAGAATTTCTAGTGGTGCATCTTGACCCGTGGTGTGAGTCACTCGATGGACTTAGAGTCACTTCACGTCCCGTCCTGTGTTTCTCTGTTCCTGAGCTTTCCTGAGCGGTTATAGCAGTCAGGCGCTTGCAAGTGGAGGCACATTAGTCAAGGAGAAAACACAGTAATGAAAGCAGGTAGAAATCCTACCGTTGAGAAAGGACAAGGGTTTTGTTCAAGACATGGAGCCAGTCTCTGGCCACTGAGCCCTGTGGGCAGAGTCTCCTGTTTGGGGGACGAGAACCATAATACTCACGTTGACGTTCAAAGGAGAAGCAATGATCTGAATTCTGGGGATCAGCAAAGATATCAGATGGGGACAGAACGCTGACAACTCTGATTACCTGTCAGTTGCAGTATCCTGAGGATCAAAAAAGTAAACACGAAAGAAAAGGTGTACTGGACCCAGCGAGCTTTGGATGCATCGGGCTCTTCTTTGCTTTTCCCATTTGCCTCCATCATCCAAGAACAAGGCAACGCTAGGAGGTCGCTTAGTCCAGTTCTCATTGCTGTCTTCCTGACGTTAGAGTTCCAGCCAACATTCAGCATTGTCTAAATGGTCGGGGGTACAGTTTTCCCTCTTCCAATCCCCACACATCGCTACATGCACCGGGAGCATTTTTAAAAGACTTGCATGAAATTAAAACACTGAGCCGGAAAATGTCAAGTCTACATGGGGGGATCGCATGTCACCCGGGGTGACGCTGACCCTAGCCAGAGGAAACGGATCTTCCATCAGCGTTTCCCCACGTGACCTCTTGGAAGCCAGATTGCTGACTCCGAGGCCTCTGCTCGTTCTCTCTTCCTGCCTTTAGTCCTAGAAAGCGAAGCCTCTCTTTTTCCTGGATGACTCATTTGCAAGGTTTGATGAAAATATGTTTTGGTTCAACATACTTTTAGCTCTAGCTGGATTTTACAGTGAGGCCTGATATAAAATGTTTCCAGGCTCGAGACCCCGTATCCAGAGGTTATGGTCTGCAGCTGCTTGGTGCTCCTTTGGGATGCTAAATGATGTGTCAGCCCGAGAGAATGTTTCCTTTCCTGCTGCCCTCTGGTTGTTAGTTTTTTGGTTTTTTTTTTTCCTTCTTCTGTTTCACAGTTTTCTAATTTGGAGCTGGTTTTGTCTTCCCCTGTTTGCAGACTTTGGTTTGAGCAACTGCGCGGGGATCCTGGGCCACTCCGACCCGTTCAGCACACAGTGTGGCAGCCCAGCCTACGCCGCACCTGAACTTCTCGCCAGGAAGAAATATGGCCCCAAAATCGATGTCTGGTCCATGTGAGTGATGGAGCTTATAAAAGGGAACTGTCGTGTCCGCTCTCCCTTTCTTATGAAATAACCTTTGAGTATTCGATGACAAGGGTGTTGTGTTACCGGCTCTGGGACAGATATCCGGCGATTCTTTGGAGCCCGGCTTTCCACCTCTGTTCCTTCTGGTCGGTTCTCCACAGACCACCAGAGAGGCTTTTGCCAAAATTCCTTCTGTTGCTGGGGAGACAAGAAAACAAAGTCCTGAGCTCACGGAACTCACATTCTGATCTCACGAGTCACTCCTGTGATTCCCCTGCTTAAAATTGTCCTGCAGCTTTCCTTTGGTTCCAGAAGAAAGCCGCATGCGTCTCCTACCCCACCCTCCGCTCTCGATTCCTCAGGCACGTTGGCCTCTGTTTCATCTTTCCCACCTCTGGGCTTTGCACCTGCTCTTTCCTGGGTCTGGAATGCCATTTCCTGGCTCTTCAGGTGGCCTGTCCACTCCCACATTCCAGTTTTAATCCAGTGCCCCCCCTGCAGAATGCATCGCTGAGTTCCCTGTCAGAAAGGCCCCCACGATTCTGTCTCCTCACCCTTGCAAATCCCTCACTAGCACCCATGGCGGCCTGACATTTTATGGCTTGTGAATCCATTTAGTGTGTGTCTCCCTAGTCGGGAAGGATGCTGCAGGAGGATGGGGACCTTATGGGTCTGCTTCGCCAGGGTCCCGCACAGGGTGGGCCACCAGGGGCAAACTCAGTCACCACTGAAGGGATGAGTCGGGGGTCGCTGCAGTGTTCCTGAGTCCGGATCCCCACGGTCCCCACGCCGAGTGAGCCCCTCAGCATCAGGTGTGAATGGGACGGGGAGCCGTGCAGGGTCCTGGATTCTGGGGTAGGGACCGAGTTCCTCACCGAGGGGAAGTGGGCTGCAGACAGAGAGTGGGCTCCTGATTAAGATGGAATTTGGCGATGAGGACAGCTCATTTGAGCCCAGAATGTGTTGATTCGGTACATTTCTGGAATTGCCCTGCTTCTCTCCCTTCTTGCTACACATCCCTCGTCCAGACTGGAGAAAAGCTAACATTTGCCGCATGCTTGGTGTATGGCATGCACCATGGCACTTAATTTTCACGGTAACCCAGTGAAACTGTTACTCTCTGGTATCCCCATTTTATGGGAGAAGAAACCCATTGCAAGAGACATTAAGAAAATTTCTTAAGGTCACGGGGCTACTAAGTGGTGGAGCTGGGGTTTGAACCAGGCAAACTCCAGGGTCTCAAGATAAAGGACTGAATCCTGAGCCTGGCTCCATTGCCTCGTGGGAAGCCATTCTCCACATCCGTTCTCTAGCGGGCTCCATGTTGTTTCCTCTCCCTTGCATGTGCTGTTCCCTCACCCAGGGATTCTTGTCCCTGCTCCTGTACACCTTCTCTTTCCCTCTTTTTTTCTGGGATTCCACTTCCCCAGGGCAGCCCTCCCTGCCTCCTACAGGCTGACTTGGAGCCTCTGGTGTCTCATCTGTTCCCTGCGCCCCGCTCCGTGGGCTCTCACCCCATGGTCACGGCTCCCCTGCCCGAAGCCCTGCTCTGCAGGCCGATGGGGCAGGACAGCGGGCACAGAGCCGGGGCTAGAGAAAGGAGGGAGGGGAGGGAGGGACAGAAGCCACAGGGTCAGGGGCTACCGTTGGCAGAGGAAGCAAACAGAGCGAGGGAACCCCGAGGGAGGGTCTAGAAGGGAAGGGAGCTCAGGAGGTTCCAGTGGGAGGTGAGGGGAACTAGAGCCCAGCATGAGGTGCTGAGGACAAGAGAATTCCTGGGACGTGGGCGCAGCTGGTCACAGGTTAGTGGGGAGTCAGCTTCTGTTCCTGGGGAGGGCTGGGTGCTCTGCGTTAATTATCCCCTTTGATCCGCAGGACAGCCAGTGAGGCTCTCTCGTGCCCATTTTACAGAGTAAGTGGTGGAGATGCACTTTGCACTCACGGCTCTTCAGCCAGAAGCCTGAGCTCCCAGTGACTTTCCTGACCCCTCAAGAGGAGGTGTGGTTAGGGCTACAGCTGGAGTGCTTATGGCCCCCAGGGGGAGGGTGCTGGGGGGCCGCCAGAGTGGGTGGGAGTGGTAGCAGGAAGCCCCGGTAGAGGAAGCCTTCTCCTCGAGGTTCCCTGGGTCGTTTGGCCAGCATTGCTGACTCACAGGCTCTTTATTCTGGGCCCAGAGGGCCTCAGAATCCTCCTTAACACAGCCATCAGAAAGCACTGCCAATGGATCAGAGTCGATACTTGAGGTGAAATCCATTCTTGGTCCCTTTCAATGCTTAAGAATTCTCACACATGTCTGGCACATGTAAATACTTACTGAGGGATGAATATAAATGTTAGAGTCTATAATCACCTTCTCTCCTTAACAGTTAGGGAACTCACTTATGCTAAATGGAGAGCTATACAAGGGACCATTTGTGCACCAAAAAAAAAAATAATAATAATAATAATAATAATAAATAAATAAATAAAAAGGCTATGGAGCATAGAGAGCCTGAAAAGCCAAGAGGTTCAGAAGCGTGATTTAGCTGGTGGGGTGGGAGGCGTAATGACCATGGGGAAGAGAAGCTGGCAGCTGGAGAGCAGGTCTTGCTCTCTCGGGGACCGAAGGATAAGTGTCATCACGAGCTGTCATGGTGACAAGGCTCAGCCTATGAAGGGGGACCTTTCCACTCCATGGCTGGCAACCCAGGCAGCTCCTCACCGTCTAGAAGTGTTGGTAGAAGGGAGGAGCCTTGTGGATTGTCAGAGCCCCAGGGGAGGTCCTGGGCACGTTTCACCTGCGAGGGACCTCTCTCTCGACCCCTTGTGCTGACTGTAAGATGGGAAGAAATCATTTCTCCTGTCTGGGGAGATCCAAGGGGAAATGGAAAGCACCAGCTGCAAAAGGCAGCACCGTCTGAGGGTCACGTGTAAGCTCACACTTTGTCCCTGGCCCTCCTGTCAAGTCCCTGGACTTGGGAAAGAAATCCACAGTTAGGGACCCCAGGTGCTCTATTTCTCAGTTTGGGGGACCCCATGATTCAGATAAAGGGGCCTGGTCTCCTGCAGCTGTGGTGTCCCCACGCATCAGCCAGAAGGAGTGGCTCCACTCGGAAGGTGGGTTTAGAGGAGGGAAGGCGGAGGGGAGCTGCGGGAGGGATGAGGGTGACCCAGAACCCTCGCTTCCCTCCTCCACCCCGGCTTCTGCCACCGCTGGGCCCTCTGGAGCTGCTGGACGTTTCTTCACTCACCTCCCACTTAGTTGCCTTTTTTTCCCCCAAGAAGGTGATACGCAGCTTCCGGTCTTCTGAAAAGCTCTCGTCAGGCCTCATTCTTAGTCCTGGTGCCAGAGAGTAATGTATGGGAAAGTCTTTGACAAATAGTAACACACCATACACACCTTGGTCTTTTCAGTTGATTGTGGCATCGCTCTGGAGGCTGATGGGTGATCTCTAGGTAGACCAGAAACTCCGTGTGCTAGTGCCCCGTGGTGGGGAGTTGTGGTGGAGATTCTCACCCTGTTTAGCCATGAAGGACCCTGTTTTATTCTAATAAATGAAGTTTCCCTGGAGCAAGATTGGTTAGCTGACCCTGGAACATTCTCTAGCGGATGAGGCCACAGGACCCATGCCTAATTCACAGGGATGGCATCAATTAGGCCCCTTTTAAAAGCTGCTATTGATAAAGCTTAAAAAGCAAAAAGAGGCCACGTGAGGAACAGATAGCTTACCAGCAGTTTGTTCATTCGGCAGATATGTGTTGAGCCAGGTGCTGTGCCGAATTCTGAGTGCACAGCAGGGAGTAAAATAGCCAAGCAGCCTTGGTCGGTCCTTGCTCCCGCAAAGATCGTTATTAATGCTCATGTACCTCGGACTGAGTGACAGGCGGTGTTCCAGGGGCTTTGCAAGTATTAACTCATCTTGTCTGCCTAACAACCCTTCAAGGGAGTGCTCTGTGATCCCACTTTACAGATAAGGAAACTGAGGCCCGAAGAGTCTTGGGCCCTCACCCAAGTGGCACTGATAGGGGGTATAGAGCCAGGATTTGACCAAGCTGGCTTGACTCTAGAGTTTGTCTTAAATCGTCACTCTTCACTGCTTCTACTTCTACTATGTTGTGCTTCCTCTCCTGGGGTTTCCATTCTAGTGGGGCAGACGGTTTTTAAACAAGCTGTAAGCTGGGTGTGGGAACGGCTATGGAGAAAATGGGTGGGATGCAGTGAACGAGGATGGGGGTGGTGGCCTCCAGAGGAGGAAATCTCAAAGCCAAATCCTTAGGATGAGTCGAACTGAACTCTGGGGAGAGGGAGGTGTCAGGAAGGAAGGCCTGAGACACAGGGAACAGGATGTGGCAAAGCCGGGGTGGGGGTGGGGTGGTGTGGGGAGGTGTGGGAAGGGGTTTGGGTTTCACCCTAAAGGTTATAAGAAGCCACTGGAAAATTATATAAGCAGGTGGGTAACAACATGTTATGGATTGAATTGGGTTCTCCCCTCGAATGATATGCCAGAGTCCTAACCTCCAGTGTCTCAGAATGTGATGTTATTTGGAGAGAAGGTCTTTACAGGGGTAACCCAGTGCAAATGACGCCATAAAATCCAGTATGACAGATGTCTTTATAAAGGGGGGAAATTGGGACACAGAGAGACACAGCGAGGACGCCGTGTGGGGCTGAAGGCAGAGCTCATGGTACCGCATCTCCGAGGTAAGGAACACCAGATTGCCAGAAACCACCAGCAGCTCTGGGAGCAGCATGGAACAGGTTCTCCCTCCCAGCCCTCAGGAAGAACCAACCCTGCCGACTCTCTCGGCTTGGACTTCGAGCCTCCAGAACTGTGAGAAAATCAATTTCTGTTGTTTAAGCTCCGGAATCTCGGGAAAGGCCAGAAGTAAACTGATGAGTATAAACTCTCCACTCCAGACCCCAAGAGCCATTCTCCTTCCCAGGAAGTCAAGTTCACTAACAGACGAATAAAGTAGACTAACGGAATTCTTGGTCATCGCTTACCCAA